GTTCTGTGATTCTGTGATTCTGTGAAGAGCTACTACAGTGACAAACTGTAATGTACAGCCTGGAAATCAATTGTTAAAAACTAACAAGTTTTGAAAAGAGCTAAAAGTGACTGAAGGACTGGAAAACGTGCCACACACTAAGACTGATGTATTTGGTGAATGTTGCAGGCATGGTCACAGTCTTGAAGCACCTGCGCAGTAAGAATGAATTGATGATGGACCAAGCAATAAAATTAATCACATTGACTAATATAGAATAAGATTTGATGACAAAGTCAAAGTTAGTCAAATTCAGCCTGCTTTTCTTGCAGGTACAAAGGATCAAACCAAGGCAGTGTCTGATGTCCAACAATTGCTAGTATTTGCCACCTAGGCAATAGCAAAGCTTCATGGCTGTATGTTCCTCTGTTCCTCCTCTGGGAGAGGCTCAGGAAATTCCCAAAATGTGGTGGTACCTTGGTAGCAAGTCCATTCCACAGCTTTTCCCACACTCTGGGAGCCATCCAAAATGGTACAAGCATTTAGCTCGTACAGCAGCATGTGGCAAAGATTTCATCAGCTGACCCAAATACTATATGAGGAAACATCTCTTTTCCTTTGCCTTGAGTCTGACTTCTCCTAGCAGCACTTCCTGTAGCGCTTGTACTGGAAGCAACAGTAGCAAAGGAAATTAAGCTATGGAGCAGCTGATCAGGTACAGAGAGTAGCCCTCCATGGTGCCATCTCTACTGCCTGTGTTTAGAAGACATTTCGTCTTCTTCAACCAGTCTATGAGAGATTAATCCAGAGCCTTTCATTGCATAAGCAATCAAACTAAATTACATAAATGACTTATTATGGCCTCAAAATAGCTACAAATCTGCCACAGAAGTGAGCGTGTGTTGATGTTTGGAGGCTGAAGAGAAGGGAAACCTCTCTTCTTGTGATACATTGGTAGACGTCGGGTCCAGGAAAATCCTTCACTGGGCAGAATTAGCCATGAATGGTAGATAACTGATACTAACAGCTCGTAACTTCCAGTTTTCTGATATTCATTTGCAACAAAAGTCTGCACATCAGGTATGATGTGTGGCTCCCATGTGGGCAAGTCAGCTTCTGTGGGGACCAACGGCCATAGCACAGCTGGGAATAGAACTTAGAGGAGGCACATGGGTGGCACGCTCCAGGCACAGCACGGAGCCATGTCCTCGGGCCTGCTTGGCCACCACGTGGGAAGACAAGCAGGTCACCGGCTGGGCTGAGCTGCTACCCCAGCACCTGGCTGGGAGAGAGGCTCTGAGTGTCGCAAATGTGTGAGACGTGGTCTTGGCTCCTGCTGTCATCTGGGATAGGCATTTCCAGGAGGGACAGATACCACTGCTGTAGGTGTCTAGGAAGGGTGGAAAAGGAGTCTGATGATGGAGCCTATCACTCCCCGTTGTCTCTAGAGGGAACCAGGATGAACCATGTAAGGCTTCCTGTAAGGAAGAAAAGTTCTTGATTGCCTCTGCCTCTGCTCACATAGACAGGCTCTGTCCTGTCTGAAGTGTCTAGTGCTTCTGTAAAAAAGGCAGAAACGTCTTTTCTCTTGCCCGGTGGTTCTGTCTGTCTTTCCCTCCTCCAGTACTTCTTTTACAATGAGCACTGATTTTGGCTTATCTGATGTCCTCTGAAGGGACGGAAAGACCACTAACAGCTTCATACAGACCAAACCACCCTTGCAGTGATAGGCATTTTTAAGCCCTTGAGTGAGTTCACGCAAGTCTCTTTAAGAGATTTTAAAGAGATTTTAGGTCTCTAAAGAGCAAAGACTCTTTAAGAAGTTCTGCTTCTAAAAAAATGAATTTTCAACCTGATGATATTCGGATAACACCATGCATTCATGCACTCATGTTTGTTTTAACACTTTTGTTTTCTCCTTTCCAGGTGGTTCACCAGCTGTGAGTATGAGCTCCAACAACATGTCCTTATCCAACCCCATTTCAACTCATAGCATCATGCCCCAGAGCTCCAGCCTCATGTCCACCCCCACTGGGACCCGAATGCCTTCTGTTCCTGCTGCTCGGAGTATGGGCTGCTATGGGAACCTTCCTTGCAACCAACCAAGCGCATACAACGTGACTTCAGGAATGAACCAAATGCAGCCACACAGAAACCAAAATCAAGTTCTGCCCAGTCAAAATAACCCCATGATGTCTCGACAGCAAACCATGACGCAGGGAAACAACGTAACGGCTTTTGGGACGGGGTCAGTGGTCAACTCACAGCAAGTAAGGCCAAGCTTGAACCATGGAGCCACAGGTATCCCTGCACAGAGGCCAGCCAACGTGATGATCACGGCTACTGCCACTGCTCAGAACTGGGCCCAGCAAGAAGCTGCAGTGAAGCAGCAGGACGCACTGAAACCCACAGGAGTCCGTTTCCCCACTGGAACTCCATATCCTAACCAGTCTTTGCAACGCAATGTAGGCAACCAGCATTTTCCTCAGCGTGCATTGGCACCTCCCAACCAGTTAACAACAGGGGTCCAAATGAGGCCTCCTCTTAACCAAATGCACCAGACTTTAAATGGACAATCTGCTGGCTCACTACGAGGTCTCAGCATAAGACCTAACCAGCTGAGAGGACAGACTGTGCCTACCTTGAATCAGCCAGGAACAAGTATGACACCTCCATCATCTTTGCCATCAACCAGTTTCACATCTACCAACCAAAACTCTCGGGCTTACCAAGGAAGTGACCATGGTAATGACCTAGCGTTTGACTTTCTGAACCAGCAAGGTGACAGTATAGGACCTGCACTCAACAGTGACTCAGACTTTATAGATTCTTTACTGAAAACAGAACCTGGTAATGATGACTGGATGAAAGACATCAATCTTGATGAAATTTTGGGGAACCACTCATAAGTGACAGTACCAAGGGTGAACCAGATGAAGAGGCAGTAAGGACATTAGCTGTCTCTTCAGATGCCAACAACTTGCTTTAGTAATTTACACTCCAGTAACTGAGCTGTCCTTTAAAATACCACATAGGGCAACTGCCCTGTTTGAAGAGTTGCTCTAGGAATGAAGTTGAAGTCTCCTGTGATGGAACCACATGTAAGTGATATTCATGCCTGCCGCAAAGGACTGAGAGCATGTGAAGGGTCTGTTCCCCACACTGGTGCCCAGTGCATTGCAAACCCATCAGTTCTTCTCACGGGGGCTGCATGGAAAAACATGTTTAGCTTCCCACACACACAAGCACCAGACAGTGGTATGGGTTGTGCAACATCATTTCTCTGAGTGCAAGTAAGAGCCCAAGTGGTCCAGAGCTCTTCAGTCATCGTGTTTGCAGCCCTTAACTTCCTTGGGACTACTCAGCCCTGCCAGCATTAGGGCCTGTGTAAACCTCGTTGTGTTACAAAAACTGTTTCTTTCTACACAGAACAAACTCGCATTTGCTTTCCCCATGATTTTGTTTTAACCCCTTTATATTTTGTAGTGCACAAAAGGGTAAGTGGTCACATCCAAGAGAAGAAGAAAATGGATCATCCAGTGCTTAACTCAGTGTGCTCTAGCATTCACCTTCTCACTTTCCTTGGTGCTTGCAGTGAGTATCAGAGGAGGCTACTGTCCTGCCAGCAGCACAATTGTTATGGGCATTGAGGGAAACATGAGATGAACGACAGAAAAGTGAGGGAAACATGAGATGAACGACAGAAAAGCTCAGGAGCCTCACTTTGCCACCTTCCCCCAGCCCAGGGACTCCAGTGACTCAATGGACAACTTGAGTGAGAAAAGTGCTCACCATTTGACCCTCACCAACTGCTTTCCCAGTGCAGCTTAGATGAGGGGAAATCCATTAAGTGGTTCAATGAAGCCACTATCCCCATTTCCATCTTAACCCACGGCAAGTCTCAGGTAGCTCAGCTCTTCTATCAAACAGGTACCCCAGCAGAAATGCCAATGTCTTTATCTGGGGAGAGGCTACTGTTGTGATTGCACAACAGTTTAGCTTCATCCCACTTTCCCTTTGTCATATGGGGGCAGTTGAAAGAGGTCAATGATGGCCCAGGTCCCCACAGCCTCCACTGGGCAGCGTAGAAGAGTGCAGCCCCTGAAACGAGCATGCAGACCAATTGTGACCACCTGGGTTACTTGCAGTACGGTTACTCGAGTACTCCACTCAGCCACATCTGTGCTTGTAAGTGCAACAGTTTTGGGGAATATTTCTGGGCAGTGACCCCATCCTCATCTGTTCTCATTTGGGGATGACCCAGCTAACACTGCCCTGAGCAATTTCTGGGCTTCCCTGGGGAGTTAACCTGAGGCAAGGACCATTCCCATAGACAGCTTGCAGTCACCTTACCTTGGAGCCTAATGGAGCAAAGCAGTAAGGACACAGATTGTTTCACCCCGCCTGGCCTTGGTGCCAGAGAGCAGTCTCAGCCGTGTTAAATTTTCTCTTATGGACTTGGTCAGTAAAGGCATCAGAAGGCGGTGCTGTGTCACTATAAAGCAGCTCTGCAATGAGTCAGACAGGAGGATTCATAGATGGGAACAGATCTTGCAATTCAAATGAAAATGCTATTCTTTGAAATGATGTGCTGAGACGTGTTTCACAGCCGCCTCTGAATTAGCTAAAACTCGATGTGGCAAAGGAAGACAATGCCTATGTTCACATGCCTCAGCGCCAAGAGGCATTGCTGTGCCCCGTGCAAGTGCTTTATTCATCCTTGTTAGTGGCAGTGGGATGAGGAGACTATTTGACAATAGCCTCTGCGCTTATCTGACCTATTTCTCAAGAGAGGTTTTAATAAGGCTTTTCCAGTCATTTCACCCTGTCATTTCATGTGGGCATGATTGTTCATGATGTTTCAAGAAGCGCTGTCACACACACAAGCAGCAGCACCTCCAGGATAGGTGTAATGTGGGCATTTAGCAAGATATGCCAGCTGAGGCGAGCTGGTCCATAATGCTGTTCATTCCCAGACATGTTTTTCATAACAGGCACAAAAAAGCCTGCTGAAGAGTCCCTTCTGCTGCCCCAGATAGTGATAACTGCACATCCCTGCACTGCATAATGTGGTGGCTCAGCTGCCCAGAAGCTCCCTCTTCTCCCCAGTGTTGACTGGGGTGAATGCTGTCCCTTTGATATGCCAGTACAAACTTTTCCAAGTCTTTACAGAGCTTTTCAGCTCAAGTCACTGGTGCCCCACCTAAGTTTGGAGAGATACAGATGTGGTCTAACAAATGAGTCGCCCATAAATTGTGCAAAACCAGATTGAAACAGTAGCTACATGGGTGTAAAGTGGAGGGAAGATGGGCTCACTCGTCACACACACAGGAACCTGTCCATGAGCAGGTCAGCAGTGACTGCCCAAACTCTCTTAGGAACAGATGACTGCGATGCCACTAAGGCTGAGGCCGAGTTAGTGCCATCATGAGCAATGGGCACTGAAGTCTGGTAACTTCAACTACCCTCACATGCCATTGAAAAAGCCACCACTGGTTTCTGTATTAAGACCAAATTGTTTTCCAGATCCTCAAATTATGTAAAAAAATTGTTCAGCTTCAGGATATCACCCAGTGGTGGATTCAATGCTGAGCTTCGTGCTGTTGGCCTCAGCCTGCAGTGGAGAAGACGCTGGGCTGTGAGTGCCATCCCTGGGATCAAAATTTCATCCTGTCTTAAGTAAATTCAGCAAAGGTAGAGGCCATTTGCAATCCTGTAAAGAAATGCCTGATGCATTTGAAGTGTAAGCTTGCGAAAGACTCTTGCAACCAAAACTTGAATCCAGTATAATTTCTTCAGAACACTTGTGTCTGAATGGAGCTAGGTGTCTTTTTTTTCTTTCTTTGCAATGGCTAAGTGCACTACCCTTATAGTCTATTTTTCATCATTGTCTGGGCACTCTTCACAGTGTTGGATTGTAAATATAAAGAATTATTTGTTTTGTAAACTTTTGTAAAAAACAAACAAAAGTAATAATATTTTGGTAGGAATAATAAAAATCATATTATTTGGGTTATATTTATACATATGTGAAATAAATATACTATCAAAAAGTTGTATTTTATACAAAAAGTCAACGGTTACCTTTTGTATTCTATATACAAAGTTTTGTATGATATGATTGTTTATTTTTATCTGCAGACATCAACTTTGGATTTTGGGGGAGGGCAGAACAGGATCGTGGTTAAATAGCTGGGCCTGACCCCAAGCTCACTGAAACCAATGGAGTCTTTCCATTGCATTCACAGGGCTTTGAATCAAGCCTTTAAATCTTCTTCAGATATGTTTGACATCTGAAGCTCTCTAGAAACCTCAACATGAAAACATTCCAGGTTTCAATTTTTTTCCCTGAAAAAGGCTTTTATTATGATTATTATTGTTATTATTGTAACTCTTGGGAGGCAGGTGGGACCTATGTAACTGTCATGTCCTTGTTGCATGTATGTCTGCTTTATATTTTCCCCATATTATAAACCAGTGTTTCTCTATACAGACTGAAAGGAGATGTTGCTGTACAGAAATGTTTGTGTTTATGCATTTTTATATGTGGCTGTATATACCTCCTAGTACTATGCAGTGACACTTATTTGACTCCATTTATTTTTCACCTAAACATGAATAGTATGTTTTTCAGTAGCTATCAAAACTCTGCCAAGTAAATCAATCAAAATTATCCCAAGTGTCTCTTTTCTTAATATGAATTTTATAATGAATGTCTGTTTAGTCAACTGCTCATTCGTCTGAGTAAATTAAAATTGCAATGATATTTTAGGGAGGGGTGAGAAAAATGTGCATATGGCAGCTTCTGGCAACTTCTGGTAGGTTCTGGGAGCTCAGTCTGCCTCTTTGCAAGAGAGCTGCAATGTTTTCTTACTGACTGAAGCTGTGGTTTCATTACCAGCAAGGGTTAACAAATAACACATGGTATTTTAGCTCCTGGTGAATGGTCTTTGTAGTAGCAATTCGCTCTGGGAT